CTTCTCAGTCTAGAACTTTATATCTAGCAAAAATAACCTTTGGAATGAAAGCAAAATAAAGACATCATAGGTGGAAGAAAAACAAGAGAGTTCAGCTAGAAAGGCTTAATTTAAAAGAACGATAATACCAAGCTTTAGCAAGGACACAGAACACCTAGAAAAAAAAAAAAAAAAAAGAAAGAAAGAAAAGAATTCTTTGCAGAAGAATATCTGACAACATCTTGTAACTTCAGGAATGTAGGAAGAACTATGGAAGTAATACAGATAATAGTTTCCTCTTATGTTCTTTAAGATATGTATGCCAGTTGAAAGCAAAAGTTAAAAACATCAGGTGGGTTTACAACACTTTGTCAGTATAAAACATGACAACTGCAACAGGGAAATGGCGAACAAATTAAGGTAATATTTCTACGTTCTACTTGAAATTGTAAAATATTTCTGAGTAGACTGAAAATTATGTATGTTGTAATCTGTAACATAACCACTAAAAAAAAATATTCAAAGATAATTGGTCAAAAGCTCTATAGACATAAATTCAATGGAAATTTAGAAATTAAGATATTTTGAATAAAAATATTCAAGAGAGGAAAGAAAAAAGCAAAAACTAAAGATCAAACAAAATAAATGATAAGGTGATAGACGTAAATCCAGACAAATCAATAATTACATGAAATGTGAATGATCCAGCCATGCCTGGTGGGGCAGGCCCTTGGAGTTCTAGGACTTAGGGGCTTAAAGCACGAGGATCACGTGAGCCCAGGAGCTTGAAACCAGACTGAACAGCATAGCAGGAACCTGAGTCCAAAAAAAAATAAGTTAAAATGATCTAAATGTGCAAAACAAAAAAGGTGTTAAGTTTTTTTGTTGTTGTTTGTTTGTTTTGGGGTTTTGTTTTTAAAAAGATCAAGCTGTATACTATGTACATGAAACTTACTGTAGCCAGGCATACTAGTGCACATCCAAACCCCCTGAGAGTCTGAGGCAAAAGGATGGAAAGTTCAATCTCAGCCTGAATAAATGACTTAGAGCCTATCTCAAAATTAAGAAAAAACAAGAAGATCTGGGGATATAGCTCAGTGCAAAGGTCCCAGATTCAATCTGCAGTACTGCAAAGTAAAAAAAGAAAATCTCACTTTAAATATAACAATATAGGTAAGTTAAATGTCAACAGTGTAAAAAAAGATCTCCATGCAAACACTAAGTAAAAGAGACCAGGAGTGGCTGTATTAAAACAAAGTAAACCTCAGAACAAGGAAAGTTGGACATAGAGGAGAGACATAAAATGATGGCCAAGGGACCATTCACCAAAAGAGACACAAGACCAAATGTGGTAACCAGCAACAGAGCTTCAAATTATAAGGGATGATCAAAGTATATGGTGAAAGTTTACACTGTAAATTTTTAGTATACTAAAAGTCTGTAACTCCACTTAGAGTACTCTCCCTGGCTTCAAATACACTTAGCTCATGATTCTTACTACTTTCCGAAACAGTTATTTTGTGTCTTTATACGGTATGACTAAAATTACAGAGAATACTGCCGGTGAATGCCATCCAACAGAAAGAAAGGCTCATAAAAAACACCGTGTGTGTTCATCTACCTTACTCATCAGGTGTGGCAAGATTTAGCACCTGTGATTTCTTGCTCTTCTGCAAAATCAAAATGACCTTTAAAAATAAACATTTTAGGCCGGGGAGATGGCTCAGGGGAATAAGCGCTTCCTTGGCAAGCACAAGAGACTGAGTTCATTCCCCAGTTCCACCAAAACAACAGGGGGCCTGGGAGATGGCTCAGTAGAATAAGCACTTAAGGGCCTGAGTTCAATCCCTGGTTCTGCCAATAAAAATAAACATTTTAGGGCCAACCAAATAGCTCAGTGGACTGAAGTGTCTGCAAGCAGGCACAGGGGCCAGGGTTTCGGTCTCCAGGCCTGCTGTGCCGGGCCCACCCCCGGGGTGTGCTGAGACAGCAATTGAGACTGGGTGTGGTGGTGCATGCCTATAATCCCAGCTCTTGGGAAGCGGTAAGCAGGAGGATCACTATGAGTATAATCTAGTAATGAGACCTTGAACACCCTGTAGACCCTTCCCTAAAGCAGAAAAAAAAATTTTTTTTGAATCAATTCAGAGCATTGAGACAGTCACTGGAGGCCAAAAAGAGATATAAGAGGATTTCTGGAACTCCAGAACGCGAGAGGTAGGGGTTTTTGCTATAAGGAGGAGTACTTTGAAGGGAATTAATGATAATGTATCTTTGTAATTTTTAAACATTTAGACATTTACCACATTTTTCAGTCACACTTCATACATGAAACACTTCAACAGAACAGAAAGAACAAAAGGTCAAATTCACAATAATCGTTGGAAGAAAAAAAGAGAACAAACATAATTATTGTTGGACAGTCAATGTCTGTCCAAGAGACATCTCTTTTAGTAATAAGTAGAACCACTAGGTAGAAAATCAGTCAGGCTATGGAGCTAAACCAAATCAAAAACCAACCAGATCTAGTTATTTATTGAATACTCTACCCAACATCAGAATATATCTGCCTTTTGGGCCAGCTAGATAGCTCAAAAAAAAAAAAAAAGAGTAGTCTCAAGGGAAATTAGAAAACATTTTCAACTGAATAAAAGTGAAAATATAGCACATCAGAATTTGTAGACTGGGCTGGTGAGATGGCTCAGTGGTCTAAAGCACCTACTTAGAACAAGCTTAGCAAAGCACAGGGACCGCGGTTCAATCCCCCGGCCCACATGCCAGCCAGCCCCGCCCCCTGGTGGGCTGAACTGCCCCCCCACACAAATAAAATTTTTAATAAATAAAAGAATTTGTAGACTACAACCAAAACAATGGAGGAAAGTTATAGGCTTTTTAAATTTTTAAATTAAACAGAACAGCCTTCAATCAAACTTCCCCTTAAAGAAACTGTAAGAAGATGAGTAAATCAAATAGAAAACTGCAGATAGTAAAGATAAAGCATTGGAAGACTAGTTAACATGTTAATTTTCCACAAATTATTGTGTAAATTTAACTCGGGGCTATTTTAGTAGACATAAACATACCAATTCTAAAATTTAAATGGTAAGATACAGTAATAGAAAGCCAAGACAAATGTGCAAAAGAATAATGTAGGAAGAAGCAAACCATCCAGTTTTAAGATTTGCTAAAAGTTCTGAAGTACTTGAGCCTGTGGTGTTAATGAAGAGATTAAAAACCTGGATTAATGAAACAATATAGAAAATCTGGACAGAAATTTCTGTGAATATGTTCAGGTGATTTTTGACAAAGTACAAAAGTGATCCAGGGGAGGAAGAGTATGTGGTATTGACACAACTTCAACCCAAACTTTACATCTTACATAAAGATTAATTCCGACAGCATCGTAGATCTCCATTTAAAATCTAAATTCTTGGGGCCAGGGATAAAGCTCAGTGGCATAAGCACCTGCCTGGCAAGTATAATGTCCCGAGTTCAATCCCTGATACCAAAAAATAAATAAAATTTAGAATTATCAAACTTCTAGGAAAAAACTTTTAGAAAAAGAAAAAAGGCAAGCTAATGTCTAGAAAAAAATACTTGGAAATCATGCATTCAATGAAGAACTTGTATGTAGGGTATTTAAAGAACCCTTAAAACTCAATAGTCTTAAACAACCCAGTAAAAACCAGGCATAGTAAAACGCAGCTACAGCCCCAGCACTTGAAGGTTGAAGACCAGGACTGTGGCTTAAGCAACAGCACATGATGTCAAGCTCAGCGTTATTATCCATTACAGAAATGCAAATTGAAACCACACTGAAGGGCTGGGAGTGTGGCTCAGTGGTAGAGCACTTGTCTACCATGTGCAAAGTCTTGAATTCAATCCCTAGTACCGAAAGAAAAAACACAACAAAACAAAAACCACACACAGTGAGGTACTACAGCATACCTATTAGAATAGCCAAAATTTTAAAAGAAATTGAAGACAGTGCAAGTGCTGGAAAAAAAACATGAAGCAACTATAACTCTCACACGTTAGTGTTCACAAGAGAAAATGATCCAGCTCCTCTGGAAAAAGATCTAGCAGTCTTGTACCAAATGGAACATTTACTGCATAACCCAGCAGTCCCATTCTTAGGTATTTATCCAAGAGAAATATAGTCTTATATTTACCCAGAGATTAGATGCTTATCATGGTCTTGTTCACTGGAATGTGGGTCACTATCCTCTACAAGCTAGATTAGCCCCAAGTCAGTAAGCATCCTAGGAGATGGAGTCCCTCTCTTAATCTGCAAAGACCACCTGTCCAGCCTTGACTGCTTCCTGCCAGTTGATGAATTGGATAAGCCACCAGGCCTCACTGCAGCTCCACCATCCCTCCGGGAGGCCAGCTCTGAGCTAATTCAGCTGTCTCAGCGTTCTTCCACGGCTGAAGATACTCGGTTTTCCTGGGGTGAGCTAACCAGCAAGCAGGCTTGGGTAAGCAAAGGTCTTCTACTGAAAGATACCTGGATCTTTGTGCCAGAAGAAAATGAGGATGTAATCGAAGATTCATCTTGCTCAGAACTTTGGGAATTTGCGGCTAGCCTAACAACTTCTGTTCCCCAATGTGATTCATAATTATGGAAGAACTGAAATTGTAGAACTTAAATTGAGAAAATAATAGTGGTGTTCCTTAACAGATCTGATCAATATTTATATGTTGATTTCTGTTTCAGATCACAAAAATGGACAGCACTTTATAATACCTCAGATGGCAGACAGGTAAGGCCATGGCGATACCATTCTATTTTACCTGTTCCTAATATTTCCATGGTTGTATAGTATTTAAGTGTATTATAGTTTGTTTAACAAAGCCCATACATTTTTCTCTTTTATGGCTGTACAATTTGGAATAAGACTGCTGTAAGTAAACCATATAAAACTTAAGTTTGAAACAGCACAAGTAACCAGTATCACAGCATAGGTTATTCTCAAAATATTTCTGTATCATAAAAGATTATATTTTTTGTCTATAATATGGGTCCCCAAACCATTGTCAAGGGCCAGACCATAAATGTTTTAGGCTTTATGGGCCATATAGCATCTGTCACAACTACTCACCTTTCCCATTACAGATGGACATTATATGAATAAATGGGCATATTTGTTCCAATAAAACTTTATTTCTGGATACTGATATTTGAATTTTGTATAATTTTCACACATAGTGAAATATTTTCCTCTCCAGGAAGTACTGTTGGCCCCTCCCACCATATGAAAACACAGACACTATTCTTAGCTCACTGGCTAAGGCCATAATTTGCTGACCCCAGTTTATAAGATGGCTGGGTTCATTGCTGTGGAAGTGAACCTGAACCCTGCCTAGCCAGTGATCCTTGCCCCAGTTCTGTGAGGAGTTTATGAAATGATGGACTGCTGCTCCAGGCGTAGTCTTGCCACTCTGGTCTGTTGTACCTTCCCTATATCGTATTTTCTCCTAGCTTGCTCCCCCTCCCTAGCTGCTGGGATGGAGCCCGCGGTGTGGTGTGTGTGAGGCAAGCACTCTGCCACTGGGTGACTTCCCTGGCCCCTTGATTTTTTTGTAATACTTAAAAAATTTTGACTCCTCACATAAGAGCCTAGAGGTTCATCTGGTAATAATTTTTGTCAGTTTAGTTGGGAGAAGTTTTTGCTTTTTTAGGACTGTTGTATTTCTAGGAGTCACTTTGGTCAGATTGTGTCAGTTTGCTCACTGAGTCTCTCGAGTTACTGAATGCTAGACTCAGAGAGTGTTCCTAGAGTGTAAATAATATTTCCATCCCTTGGGTGTCTTAATTATCTGCAGAGCTCATGAATATATTCTATTGATTTGCTTATGCTTTTTGTACATTTTCTTAGCAGCCTGGATTTGTCTGAATTGGCAAAAGCTGCTAAGAAGAAACTTCAGTCTGTGAGTATTTCTCTTTTCTATGGAATCAGTATGGGAATCAGTATATCCTGCTAGTACTTTCTCAGTCCTAGTGACTTGTGTCAGAGTTTATTTCATACTTTGAGATGTTAAAGTAAAAACAGCATTGCTTATGTAGCAATGAAGAATGAAGCCCTATTAAGCTTAATGTATCCAATTCACTGGCTCTGCTTCAAATAATCCCTTTTTCCCCTGTCATGTTAAAAGTGAAGACTGTGTCTATGACAGAAGGAAATGGCTTCTCGTGAGCGTCCCTTAGTGTCTCTGACTGTGGATGTGTAAGTGGGCTGCGCTTCTGTGGGATTGCTTTCTGTGGCCACATAGGATGCTAGGGAGTGCTCAGAGCTGACGCTGGATGGTGGTGAGTCTCTAGCCTGACTCCCTGCCACAGTTCTCTCTCCATGATATGCCATTCCTCAGAGCTTTTCAAAATTATGCTTTTATTTTTTATTTTTTTTTAAATTATGCTTTTAAAAGCTGTCAGTCCTGACTCACGCTTGTGCTGAGAACCTTCCCAGTCCCGCAGGCTACCTCCTTCATGTAATCTGCGTCTTTGCAACCTTAGTCAGCACCCTAGGAAGTAAGCTTCTCTGGGAACCCCTTTCCTTTGACCAGTGCATCAAGCGATACCTCACGGGTGTATCCCAGCACGTTGGTCACCAGATTACTTACTGCCCTTAACTCTTCTTACTGTTCTCTGGATCAGACCCAGGACTCTTAGTTTGTTTTCATAACCTTTGAGGCCATCTTCCAACTTACCTTTCAGAGCAGGTCTTCTGGTTCTGGGTGCGTGGTGCGTGTGTGTGTGTGTGTGTGTGTGTGTGCATGAGTGTGTTTGTGTGTTGAGGTGTTTCTTTATGGATAAACACTCTCTGAGCCTGAGAGCTGGAGCCTTCGGTCCCGGCCAGAAGTCCCCTCTCACCTGAGTGCCCTGCCCAGCTTCTGTGACTTCTCATCCAAGGAGCTGAGGCTGACCACATTCACAGTGTAGGCAGCAGTTTTCCCAAAGCCCAACTCTGAAACTGCTGCTCCTATACATCATGAATTCCCTATTGCCCCTTTCTTTTTTTTTTTAATTTATTTATTTATTTGTGTGTGTATGTGTGTGGCCAGCTCAGCCCACCAGGGGGCGGGGTGGCTGGCATGTGGTGCTGGGGGATTGAACCGCGGTCCCTGTGCTTTGCTAAGCTTGTTCTAAGTAGGTGCTTTAGACCACTGAGCCATCTCACCTGCCCCTTGCCCCTTTCACAGAAGATCTTTTTCTAGAATTTCATCTAAGAGTAAATATTGCGTAAAATGAATTTATCCTTCCTAGTATTAACTGTATTATGAAATAAATGTGTTTTATGCAATTTGCTTGGTGTCTCTGTGTTCTATATCTATGGTTTTGTGTGTCTGTGTTTTATTGCCTTTCTTAAATTAACTACTCTATGGTCAGATGATAAGCATGATACACTTTGGAGTTAGCACAAAATATTATATGGTTTCCATTTAATTACTCGTAATGTGTAAATGAATTTTTGTTATAAATGAAGTAAGCCTGAAAAGAAACCCAGATTCTCTTTGACTGTCCTACACTGTTAGTCTGAAAGCTGCATGAAGGCTGAGGTGCTGTGTGGCACAGAGCACGTACTTTAAACACATACTCTGGTCAGAGTTCAGGAGAGCTTTCAGAATCTTGGACTATGGGTCAGACTGGTTAGCTTTACCTCTTAATGCTGCCAAGCACCTTGGTCTTCCTGTGCCTCGGTGTCTGGCCCAGAAAAGCAGGGTGCAGTGCCACACAGCTGCAGCCAGAAGGACTCCGCCAGGGGAGCTGCCCTTGTCATCTGTTGGCTCCCCCAGCCCTGTGATCCCTGCAGGTGCTGCTCTTACCAATGCCAGGTCGGCGTTTGTGCCCTCACTCCCTCCGTCCCTCGCTGTCTCCCTCTCTCCCTCTCTCCTTCTCTCTTTCCTTCCTTTCCTTCTTTTTCCTTCCTTTACTTTTCCTGCTTATTTCCATCTCTTTCTTCCTGCCCCCTTTGCTTCCTCTCCCTTTCCCTCCCTAATGAAAAGTTAAGAGAAATACATTGAAGATCCTTGTGTTTCTTGAATTAGTAAATGTTAACCTTTGGGAAACGTAAACCTGAATCTCGGATCCATCATTTACTAGCTTTGTGACTTTAGCCCAGCTATTAATTTATATGCCTTGAATTCCTTTGTTTGTAAAATGGGACAATAGTAAAAGTACTAAGTAGGGCGCTTTTAGCCAGTGCTTGGGATGTAAGCACTAGACCAGTGCTGGCTGCTGGTGCTGGTGGTAGTAGTAATTATACCAGTTTATAGTCTCTTAGAGGGGGAAACTGATTTTTTTTTCCTCAGAGGAAATACTAGGGATTAAACCCAGGGCCTTCCCACTGAGCTACAACCCCAGCTATTTTATTTTGTATTTTGTGATAGGGTCTTGCTAAGTTGCCCAGGCTGAACTTAAACTTGGGATCCTCCTGCCTCAGCTTCCCAGAATGTAAGGATTAGAGTAGACACTGCCACTTCCAGGTGATATGTATGAAGCAAGTTAAAGCTCCCAGTCCATTATCTTATTTGACAACAAATTCTTAGGGCTTTTTGTTTTTCTCTTGTATTACTAGAGATTGAACCCAGGGCTTTGGGGTGCTAGGCAAGCGCTCTGCCACTGAGCTACATCCCCAACACTTAATTTTGAGATAGAATCTGGCTGAGTATCCTAGACTGGTCTTCAATTTACGATCTTCTGACTTAGCCTCCTGAGAATCTGGGATTATAGGCCACCACAGCTGGCTCTCAGAGTTTATTTTTTAATTACAAATGTAATTTGACGACGTTAAAGAAATTTTTTAAATTTTTATTTCTTTTTTTTTCTTTTTTTTTTTTTTTTTGTATTTTAGGGAAGGGTCTACAGGGTGTATAGGGTCTCACTACTAGATGGGACTCGTAGTGATCCGCCTGTTTATAGCCTCCCAAGAGCTGGGATTACAGGTACACACTGCCACACCCAGCCTGTACACTAGAGAAATTGAAAATGGAGAAGGGGGAATCATCCTCAGTCATTATACTTCTGATGGAGTTAGACTTAGTATTTTGGTACATTTATTTCAGTTATTTCATATGTATGTTTTTTAATAACTGGAAATCATAATTGTAGCATTTATATCCTGCTTTTTCCTCAGCAATACAATGTCCATGTTTCTGTGAAGTCTCTCTAGCCAGCATTTTTATTTTGCCACATAAAATACCTGGAGGTTAGTGTGTGAGTGGCTGTTTCCTGAGGCAACCAAGCACCTGGTTCTTTTTGTGGACGTGAGGAACAGAGTAGACAGTGCTCTGCCCTGACGGAGCCAGGAAGCCATCAGTTAAAAAGAACAGTTGGCCTGCTGTGGCAGTGCACGCCTGCAATCCCAGCCCTCTGGAAGGCTGTGAGGCAGGAGGACTGCAGGTTTGAGGCCCACCCGGGCAGTTTAGGGAGGCTGTGTCTCAAAATGAAAGCAAAAGTGGGGGAGGTGCTGGGGATCTAGCTCAGTGCAAAAACCTGGGGTTTGATTCCCCAATACAAAAAAAACATTACATCTACCACATGTCCAAGTGAATTTCACGAAGCAGAAAGTGCAGAGCGTGGCGGTGCTGCCCCGGTAGCATCTTAGCCTCCCCTGAATTGCAGAGACCTTGCTTGCCCTCCTGCCCGGTGCCCAGCTGCTGCTGATTAGGCCCCTCAGCCTGCGTGGTGAGTGTGTCATGAGCTGACACCATGCAGTGTGCTGATGAGTCAGGGTTTGCTCTGTGAGGAGCTCAGCTCTGTGGGGTGTGGACTGCCTCTGAGGAGGACGGCAGACACCTGACCACAGTCTGGGTCTTTGTGCATGGCACATTTTATCTTCACAAAGAGCACGTTTTCACTTTATCCTACCAGGGGTTTAGGAGCCCTTAATGTCTTGGGGAACTGACAAACGCTGTCAAGAACAGATGAGACTTACAGGGTGCCATTCCAAGCAGAGCTGGAACTGCATTTGCGATAATAACATGTTAGCCCCTCGTGACATCTCAGTAGCAGTGCCTGTATCTGTGTGTCACAGAGCAGTGGAGCCACTGTGGGATACTTCTAGAGTATTTGTACCGCTTCAGAAAAGTTATTATGTGTGTAACAGTGGGTAGGGCCCTGGATTTGAATAGGACCGTGGAGATAAAAGGGTGAATAAGTCACAGTCCCCTCTCGTCCTCCTGGTGTTAATCATTGTCCCTTGTGTTCCTGATATTTTTTTATTTTCAGCTAAGTAATCATTTGTTTGAAGAGCTTGCCATGGATGTGTACGATGAAGTTGACAGGCGAGAGACTGATGCAGGTGACTTAACATGTGGCTTTATCTGCTAAGCTTCTGTTATCAGTGGGCAGTAACAAGCTGCCAGCCTCACTGTTGTACTTGCCCAGTTTCTTCTGTCCTGATAACACGTGTGTCAACCTCTACCTTGCGTGTGTTGGCTTCAGAGTGTGCTTCCCCAAGTCTCCCTAGTAACGCGTGAGCCGCCGAGCCATGGCCCCCAAGTGTGATAAGATTGTCTCTGGCTCTTTCCTCTGGCTAGTCTGGCTTGCCACGCAAAACCACAGCACCCTGGTAACCGAGACAACCGTCGTCCCCTTTCTTCCGGTCAATCCTGAGTACTCATCAACACGAAACCAGGCAAGTGGCTCAGCAACTAGTAGTATTTGGGGAATGGCTGATGGTATGGTATGGCATTTTTTTCCAGCATAAGTATTTAAAGTGGCTTGATTGATTAAAACTTAATATCCTTTATACACCATAATCACAACTCACAGAATGATAAGAAAAGCGCTACATATAAATAGATGACTGGGAAAGAATAAAAAACAGAGAAAATATAATGTCTTGTGAAAAAATGTTTAAATTTACTAGTAATCCAAAAAAGCAATCTAAAGACAAAGAGATATTCCAGTGGCAGTGTGGCAGGATGAACTTTCTCATGCTACAGATAGGATTTTATTTTATTTTTTGCAGTACTAGAGATCAAACTCAGGACCTTGTGCTTGCCAGGCAGGCACTTATGCCACTGAGCTATCTCCCCATCCCTACAGATAGGATTTTAAATAGTTATAGATGTCAGAAAAGCAAATTGTTTACCAGTTTCAGAAGCCTTAAAAAAAAAATCATACATTTTTATATTGAAATTTCTTATTTTGGGATAATGCTGCAATAAAACAGCTTTACACACAATGACTTTCATTAAAGCATTATGTTACATAAGAATTAAAAACAACTGCAGTATACAGCAAGAGGCAAGATGGTGAGTAAATGAGGAAAGTACTTTTATGTTAATTTTTAATAGTTGTATATGAGGATAGAATACCCACATGTGGGCTATAATTGTGTTTCTCTTGAAATTTTGAAATTTTCTTCCATGTTAATTTTTCATTACTGGGCCTACTTCAAAGCTGAATGATTAATAGAAGAAAACTATGAAGTAGAACCATTGTGTGTTATTTAGGTAGTGCAGGGCCTTGTGAATGCTAGGGACGTACCCTACCTCTGAGCTTTCCTCCCTGGCCAGAGACATTTTCTTTTTGCTCAAAAAATAAATAAGCATTGTAAAAAAGTTCTCTTACATAAGTGGCTTGAACTTGTTTTCATGAAAAACATTACTCTCTTGATCATGGCTGTGATTGATCACACTAGTGCCAGAGGACCTTCGCAGGAGTCTTATCAGTAGTCTGACTGGTTTGATGTGACTGTGCGTGTCTATATTTTTACACTGGGGAGTGGTCTCAATTTGTTTTTCCCCCTTAGGGCAGACAGAAACTAGCCCGATTTAATGCCCATGAGTTTGCCACATTAGTTATTGACATTCTCGGCGATGCCAAGAGGAGACAGCAGGGAAGTCCCCCCTCTGGTTCAAAAGGTAAGTATCCAGCAGCTACTTGTCAGCTTTTTGGACCTTCTAAGGCATAAGCATTAAATGTAAAGAGGTACATTAGTTATAACAGTCACTGATGTGATAGCTTACAGTCCTGAGTTTTATTATTAATCTGTTGTGATAAAATATTTCCTCTTTGAGCTCTGCTTAATAGTAGTTTCACAATAACTGTTATTTAAAATTTTAGCATAAGTATTGGGGCCCCCCCCCTTTGGATCACTTTGCTTATAAAATTTCACCCAGAAATTCAACTTAGATCTTACTAAAGACATAAGAAAATAAGTTCTCTTGATTGAAATCATATCTCAACCATTTCTTACCCCCAAAACTGAGTTCTAAATAATTAAAATGTGTTGCTATAAACTTCATATGTATACAGTAAGAAGTATCAGGAGTCAAAATTAGTCTTGAGCATCTACTTCAGAGTGGCCTACAGATGGGGGTGTAGCTCAGTGGTGGTAAAGCATTTGACTGCAGAGTGGCCTATGGAGTCTTGGTCAGTGTCTTATGCTCCTGTCTCCAGGTTGAGGACCGTACTTCCTCTGTGGCCCATCACTGCGTACCTGTTGGGATTTTTTTTCCCCAGTACTATACTTTTTTATTGTAAGGCATTTAAACAGAAGAGATGTGTACCATCAAAATTAGTCCATAGTCAGTATTCCCAGAGAAGACTATTCTGACAACAGTTTGTTCTTTCCTTTTCCTATTCACAAATTGATTTAACAATTTCAGCCAACCAGAAATAAAGAAGTTCTGAAAAAAAAATGAGTAAGTTCCAGGGAAAGTACAGTGTCAAGAACTTTTGCATAAATATGAAGTCTCAACATATGTCTGCTCTTACTTGCAGGGAAATAATCAGAGACACTATAAGGTTTGTTTTGGGTTTTTTTTTTTTTTTTTTTGGACTGGGGATTGAACTCAGGACTTTGCACTTGCCAGGCAGGCACTTATGCCGCTGAGCTGTCTTTCCAGCAAAAGATGCTATAAGTATGTTATGTATAATAGCAAAAACATTAGAAATAACTAATATTTCCAGAGAATATGTAATGATATGAAATAAATTAATGAAACTTTTCAATTTTTACTATAATCCAAACTTTGTAAAGAGAACGTATTTATAAACACACAAGAGAAAATACCACAGGTAATAATACACATCCTCACCTGCATATTCCATATTTGCAAATTTATCTACTTGCTGAGATTTACTTGTACCCCCCAAATCAGTACTCCAATCACTTGAAATTATTTTCAGATATAATGCAGAGTAGTAAAAACTTAGTCACAGACAGCACATTCCCAGTGGAGGTTGAACAAGGCAGCCCCTTGCCTCTTTTTATAAATCTCATTGTTATATACAAGCGTCCCTTTCATGGTCTACTTAATGCCATGTTTTTCATGTTTTTGTGCCTTTTTTTTTTTTAACATTCCAATTCTTTTTGTGCCATTTTTGTGCTTTTTGTTGGTAATCTTGCCCTAAGCATAGTGCTGAACATCCTGTGTAGTGTTCATGAGAACAGGAAGGCTTACAGAAAAATGTGTACTGGGTGAGCATTGTTCCAGCATAACTTGTGATGCTGTTAGCTGTGAGTTTAATGTTCACGGATCAACACTGTATATTAAATAAGATGTCTTTAAACAAAAACACACATAAAGCAAGGCTGTGCATTGAAGGGTTGATGAAAATGTTAGACCTTAAAGCTGTGAGGAATCCAATTCTGTATCTCCCCTAGGAGCAGTAGTTCGGTATTGGCTCATTCAGTCTTCACAGCAGCTGTTTAGAGTATAATACCAAGAGTAACAGGAATTGACTGTGTAATATATGTTTGGGGAAAAAACTAAGAAAAATAGGTCAGGGTGCAGCAATGACTGTGATTTCTGTCTTCCTTGGTCCTTAGCTTCCAAAATCTCTATTAAATCTTTATTACTTCTGCAATCATGCATTTACATGTTTTTAAATATTAATTTTAAGGATTAAAGCTGAGCATGGTGGAGCATGCTTATAATCCCAGTACTCAGGAGGCTGAAACAAGAGGATTATTGGGAGTTGAAGACCAGCCAGGGCTACAAAGTGAACTCAAGGCCAACCTGAACTGCATATTGAGACCCCTGTCTACAGAGAGAGAGAGAGAGAGAGAGAGAGAGAGAGAGAGAGAGAATTAAGCCGTAATTCGTCACTTAGATATCATCAAGATATCTGGGAAAAGCTGGGTGTGGTGGCACATACCTGTAATCCCAGCACTTCGAAGGCTGAGGCCATGAGATCATTGTGAAATCGAGGCCAGCTTGGGCTACGAAGTGAATTCAGGGCCAGCTGGACTACATAGTGAGACTCTGGCTAAAAAAAACAAAACAAAACAAAAAAATCCGGAAAAGGCTTTGGGGTTATAGCTTCATGGTAGAGTGGTTGGATTCCACTTGCTACAAGGAGTAATACATTTTAAAAGGTGCTAGGGAAAGGAGCACATTAGGTATTAGAACACAGAGGCTACTGAGCTGCCAGAAAGAAATTAGAAATGGGCGGCTCGTGAGATCTTTTATTCTACATAATATAAGAGGCTACAGAATCAAACACATATAATATTAAGCATGTCTGTGTCCATTGGATACATTTTCCCTGCCTGTGTGTGTGTGTCTCTTGCCCTCTCGCTCCCACTCTCTGATTCAGGTGACTACATAACAATATTCTTTTTCTTGGAGCACCTACTTTCTAAGCTGCAGTTTAACAGTTTGCTTTCCATTCTGATTTGACAGCATCACCATGTAAGCATGCTACGAGTATAATCAAATGACTTTACAATACCTTACACTATATTGTCTCAGCTCTTTATGATCTGCAGCCACGCTGTTGGTACAAAAGCCTGGGAACCTGCCTCCTCCCTCTGACAGCTCCCTCCTCACTCCTCCCCTTAATTTGCACCGTAGAGCAGAAGAATGCTCGAGTCTTTATACAGCTCTCCTTTGAGTTGATAACTTTTTCTGCTAGCCACTTATTGGTGTGAATCTAATGTGACTATTTCTGTCATTTTCTTTCAGGCCTTTAAATGGCTCAACCAAAAAGTCATACCAATCGGTTTTTGGAAGGAAAAAACAAAAATTAAGCCTGAAATAGTTATTTGCTTCTCTTGATAGACAATGTGGAGCTTCTCCTGAAGACAATCAGTAACCAGCACAGTACTGAGAGTCAGGACAATGACCAGCCAGACTATGACAGTGTGGCGTCAGACGAAGACACAGACCTGGAAACCACAGCAAGCAAGGCAAACCGGCAGAAGGTGAGAGGATATGCCTCTTGTAAAAAGCTTTCTCCTACAGAATTGCTTCGAGGGCTCTCCCTGGGAAAGGTACTATGGGGGTAAATCTGGGTTCACTGCTAGCTCAAGCCAAGCAGAGTGCAACAAAGCAAATAGTTTTTGAAACTGGGTTTTTCTCTGCCCAGAATCAAGTGCTGAGACACAGCCCTGCTGTTACAGAGTGACTCCTGGATTATGTTATGAGGCCTACTTCCTTCCTTGCCTAGGAGGAGGGCTAACTTCAGTAGGAAGCACAGAGTCATGTGTGCCAGACACAGCATGGGCAGAAGCTGAGGAAGTGCGAAGAGAACTCAAGTGCTGAGAGCACCCCAAGAGGCTTCGTAAATGGGACGCCTCTTAAGATGTGCCTTAAATTGACATGGGCATTGGGCCTGTGAAGCAGTCAGGGCAGGACAATCTGGGCAGAGAAAGTGAAGCCAAGGCCTCTGGAGGGGACACTAGCGTGTAAAGAGTGAGACTCTGTTAGGCATGGTGGCACACACTTGTAATCTCAGGCCCCTAGGAAGCTGAGCAGGAAGATCAAAAGTTCAAGGCCAGCCTGGGAAACTTAATGATTTAACAAGTAAAAGGGTTGACTATGTAGCTTAGTGCAGACTGAGTAGACTGAGTAGGTTCAGTCCTCAGTACCACCAAAAAAAATGAAGTGAAACTCAGGGCTACAACAAAAAGCGGCACATACTGAAGAGCTGAGATCTTGAGGTACCTCAGAGAGTAGGGGAGGAAGGCCAGGTAGCCTGTTCCTGTGAGTGCACACAGGCTGGCACGAGCCACCTCGGGGCCTAGACCAGTAGAGAGTGGGCACCCGAATGCGCTCAGAGGAGAGGGTCACAGGGTCCTGGGTGCGCTGCACACTGGCTGCTGCTGAATCCCCAGGCCTGGCCCACAGAGGTCCTCTGCAGACATGGAGAGAGTGTGAGTAGGAGGCAGACTAGGGACGTCTGGAACTTTGAGGTGGAGAAATAGACGTACAGAAGATGAGTGTGGGTTTTCTGCCTCACATGACTGAGAATGATGCTGCTTTGGCAGTGACTGGGATTCCCCGTCTGGCCTGCCCAGAGGCTGCCAGTTCCTCCGGGAGAGCAAGCCCATTCCGAGCCGTTGTGGACTGACAGCCCCTGTATCTGCTCCCTCCAGCGGGGTTCTGCTGCTGGCTGGAACATGCTCCCAGGCACCTTATGGCAGGCTCTCTTGCCACCTCAGCTCTACTCAAAGGCTTCCCCTGATGTGCAGCAGCCCACCTACGCCCGTACTTCAGCTCTCACACCCCTCCCTCCTCCATTTTATCTGTTTCCAAAGCACTGATCACCTTCAATCATACACACACACATACACACACACACACACACACACACACACACACACACTCATTTTTTATTTTTCTCTTATGCTTCTGGGATATGAACACCATGGAAGCAGGAATCTTTGTTTTCTGATACATCCTAAGCACCTAGAAATTACTTAATACTCAACAAAAACGTTAAATGAATCAACTGATGAAAGAATAAATGAAAAAGGGAAATGAGGAAGAACCAGGCATGTAAGACAGGACAAATCTCTTTTGGCAGTTGTGAGTATAGATTAGTAGCCCCATGATCCCATTAGGAAGTACTGACTTTAAAATTTTTAAATAGCTGGGTATGATGGTGCACGCCTATAATCCCAACACTAAGGAGGCTGAGGCAGGAAGATCACCAAAAGTTCAAGGCCAGCCTGGACTACATAGTGAGTTTATGGCCAGTCTGAACTACATAGCAAGACCCTGTCTCAAAAAAAATTTTTTTTAATATTATAGTACCCTATTTTTATGTTTCAGTTTTGCATATTCTCAGAAGCCCTGATTTGGTTTAATTTTACAATTCAGGTGGCATGGCCAAAATTTTAAATTCTTTAGCTGTTAGTCTTTAATGTTATCATCATCTCAGATTGTGAACATTTTCCCCAATTTATTTTTAGAGCCTAGATTCAGATTTATCAGATGGACCAGTCACTGTACAGGAATTTATGGAGGTCAAAAACGCTCTAGTGGCTTCTGAGGCCAAGATACAGCAGCTAATGAAGGTGAATAACAACTTGAGTGACGAGCTGAGAATTATGCAGAAAAAGGTAACATGTTAATAAATGCCAGGATAATTGACTCTTTAACCCAATAGTATAAGGAAGACTCTCAGGCATCATGCTGTGGTTTGAGGGAAAAAAAAGCAAGTTATTATAACAGACTTAGAACTCTTGGGAGCACACTGTCTTTGCAAGCAGGATGTGTGTGGATATTTGAAGTGAAGTAGCTCTGGCTTTAAGTAAATCCAGAATAATTCCCCAGATGGAGTAATCTTTGCATTATTCTGGGCTACATGGGAACCTGGGCGGCAGTGCATGGATGTGGTTCCTTCTGCTGCTGGTTCTAAAGAATTTTCAATACCATAAAGACAGAGCAGGTGAAAGTCTTGGGCAAATGTATGCATTTAATCAGCATGGAAGCCTCAACTCACACCCTGCAAGGAGTGCTTTCTCTAGGTGGGCTTTCGTTTGAGTTCTTGTCCCTTATCTCCACCCCCTGGTACCCTTCCCCATATCCTTTAGTAGTCACTAGTACTTACCACTTAAATTTGTGGTGTCCTCGGAGCCTAGAGCAGAGCCTGCCACAGACTAAGTTCTCTGTAAATAAGAGAATACACTCCAGCTGTACTAGCAAGAACTGCATGCTGTAAGAGACAGTCCTATCCATTTAGCATTTTCCCATTTGAATGAGAACTGCATGAATGCATTAACCTCTAAGAGCAGTGTGTCTTTTAGAAATAAAACATACACTTAGCAAGTTGCATGGGTAGTTCATTATGAAAGAGTAAAGAGAAGAAAGTTGAAAAATTCCCCATGTTGCCTAAGATTTTTTGGGGTGTTGCTACCATCGCTTAGTTCTCTTCAGAAATGAGATCTTTATGCTTCCCTGAAACAGAAAGCAAGCAATCTAAAATCTGTCTTTGTACTGTCGTTGAGGAATAGTGGTTCAGGCACATTTCCAAGACCTGGCCAAGAGGTGCCTTTCATTTATTCCTGGATGCTTTTTAGTGCTGCCACTAAAAGGACAGTTACACAACTGTACTCTACTTGCCTGGGAAGTGAGCTGCATCTGGGGCTTGCTAGGATTTTTGTGTTGAGTGCGAGGTTATATATATATATATATATCACTTTTGAAACCAGTGACGTTAGTGCTGATAATGCAGGAGATGCGGATGCCTGCAGGTTAGTTCTAAGCTTCCAGCTCCACTTCATGCCTGGTGCAGCCCTCACCCAGACAGAGCAAGAGCCCCTTTGTCACAGGACTTACACTTCTGCCTTTTCCAAAATAGATTATGTTTATAAATTATAGTTTGTCCCATTAATCAGACTGGTAACTCCCTTTAGATAGCTTTCTGAAATACACTGACATTACCCATTGTAAATCAGTCTGCCATATCACCTTTTAAATTCTTTAGGGCTGGGGAGATAGCTCAATGGAAAAAAGTGCTTGCCTGGAAAGCACAAGCTCATGAATTCAATCCCTGGGTACCACTAAATAAATAAATAAATAAATAAATTCATTCTTTACTGTTCCTTTTAGTGTTTAGAAATTGTCAGAGATAACTTCTATATGGAAGTTATAATAATGCATAATGCATCCTCATCTCCTGGATTATCAGCATCAAAGCCATTGGTTTCAAAAGATGTGTATATATATACACACACACACACACACACACACACACACATATATCTCACACTCAACACAAAAATCTTAGAATCCTGGAAGCAAACGTCTTAAGCTTCTGAAGAAACATGTGCTGAAACTATTTGCCTTTGTACATTAATTCTTAGCAATTCTTTTGATTTCCAAAACTATTGTATTGTCTGTAAGTTTTTATATCATGCCATACAAAAAAAGTATTGCCTATTTTTTGTTTAAGATTGATTGATTGATTGATTGGTTGGTTGATTTGGTACAGGGTCTCAATATGCAGCTTAGACTCATAGTGATCCTCCTGTCTCAGACTCCCCAGCACTGGGATTACAAGTGTGTGTTACCACACCTATTCTCAGTGGCCAGCATGGCACACCTGGGGGTGGGGCCAGCACAGCATGTGGTACCAGAGATTGAACCTGGATCCTAGTGCTTGCCAGGCCTGCGCTTAGACCACTAAGCTATCTCCCCTGCCCTATTGCCTGGTTGTTATTAAGATAAGCATCATTAAAATTTATCCAAAGATGCCTTTCTAAGTGCAGAATACTAGTCATGCATGGTGGCATATACCTATAGTCCCAGCACTCAGGAGGCTAACGCAGGAGTATCACTGCAAACTCAAGGCCAGCCTGGACTACATAACAAGACCCTATCTCAGTCAGTTCATACATACATAAATACATACATGTATACATATATATACATATGTACATAGATACATATATACATGCATAGAACTAAAATGTTTTAAAGCTTGGAACCAGGAGTTTGTGCTCATCTCAGAACACACTCCAGCAGAGTCGGGACGGATGCTATAGCGGCATGTTCAGTGTTGGCATGAAGTTTCCAGGTTTGAGGTCTGGAAAAAACCTGTTAGCCTTTTTACATAGGCAGTAAGACAGCTGGAGCCCCGTGAGGTTCTTGAGTCACCTAGCTCTACATTCTTTGGACCTGATCATTTCATTAGGCCATAGGTTCCTGCTAAGTATTGTGGCAGGCCCTTCCCACTTGTTTGCATCATGGGATATAGGGATTCCCCCTGGCTGCTTATCACAGTGCAGCGCAACACTCTCTCTTTGGAAAGATGATTACAGACTCAAGCTCTGTGCTGAAAACCTTTGTGGTATAGAGGCAGCCTGTCCCTCGTCACAGCTTGCCCTTTGAGGAGATAAGGTGTGGTCTTCCTGTGGAAGACACGGGAAGCCACACTTCCTTTGGTGGGGATGGGTACTGGGAATCAGACTCAGGACCTCACGCTTGCCAGAAAGACCCTGCAGCATGGAGCTAAATCCCTGGCCCCCACACTTTCAGAGGTTTGGCACTAGTTATAAGAGGAGATGAATTTGTTTATGTAGCAAAGATGTATTGATTTTATTTCAAAGCTGGGTAAAGTTTTTTTCTTTATAAAGTTGACTAAGTAGCATGATTTATATCTGATCTTTCACATTTAACAGTTGCTTGAAAAGGATGCTAATTAATGAAGAGGAACAGCCACTATTGGTGTATTTTTCACAGATCGGTGCTTCCTAAATAAAAATTGAAAATAACTGCTAACACTGCATGGGTTTGCTATTGCAAAAATAAGGAGCTCGTGGTGCCGACATGGTTGCTTGTGGACCCAAACCCTGGCACTGGAGGGAAATCTGATCAGAGTTCATTCTCTGTCAAAGAGTAGACAGCTGAACCCACATCACACCCAGCTGGTAAAACTTTCACGGAAGATGAAGGCGCACCCGAGGGAAGAACCCTGTGCAGACTGGACGCAGATACTTGGCTTTAAGCTGCCAGATACTTAAAAGATCCCACGATTCCTTTCTGATCTTTTAACCATGAAGGAGCCTGCATGTGAGGAAAGGAAGGAGCGTTGAGGGTCTCCAGTGGCAGTGGCTGGCTAAAGTGGGCAGAGCAGGCAGATTAGCGAGTTGAGAGCCGACACCACTGTGTTCATGTTTTCTGGGGAACAAAGCCACAGGAGAGAAAGGCCAAGTACTCCAGCCCTGACCGACCGACCACCAGAGGGAAGCGAGCGTGCTACGTGGAGCATTCCTTCGTAAGAAGATGCTAGCATAGTTGAATAACTTTCCAGTTTTATGTGTGATACGTCAATACAGAAAATTTATTATAATTTAGTTCCCTCTTTTTTTTTTTTTTTTCCAAAACTGCTGAACTGTTTGGAATATCAGAGATACTATGTAATAAAACCTTATTGATCATAATTTTTTGTTGCCTTTTTGGACATCAACAGCTGATCTGATACTTGATAAGCTGAACCTCACTTTTTCTTGCTTTGCCAAAGCAACTCTAGTCATCTTTGTGCCGCTTCCATGGTGTCTGCTGTCATTTTTGGCATTTGCAAATTGCTCAGGGCTTATTTGACAAGTTATTCAGCAATGTTTTAATGGCCTCAAGCTTTTACTTGAAACTGCTTTAGAATACTCCCGAGTGCAACTTGTCTGCAGACGTTTCCCCACCCCACGATAACAGAACTTAAGTGGACATTTAGTATTTAAAAAATTGAGACAGCAACTTTCCCACATGCAGAAATTAAATTAATTGAATTATCTTTTGTGATAAAGTGAGTTGTGATAACCTGAGCCATTCATTTCAGAAGATAGACTCTTTGTTAGGTGCTTTACTATTAACACAGCCAGCTGCTATCATTGTTTAAAGTAGTTGTATTTGTTTTCTTGGTGTTTGCCTTGTCTGCTTGCTATGGAAAACACAGTCCCACTGCCAAACATTTCTTTCAGCTTCAAACACTCCAGAGTGAAAATTCCAGCCTCAGGAAACAGGCCACAACCAATGTATATCAGGTGCAAACTGGTTCTGAATACCCAGAAACTTCCAACCACTCTTCCTTAAAGCGACGTCCATCTGCCCGGGGCAGTAGGCCTATGTCCATGTACGAGAAGGGATCAGGTCAGAAACCGTATCTCCCAATGGGAGAAGCGAACCACCCGGAGGAGAGCAGGACGAGACTCCAGCCCTTCCCTGCGCACGTGAGTACCACCACCTGTGCTTTTGCTGGTCGCCCTGTGCAGCCTGACTACTCTGTTCCCTCGTCTGAATCTGCAGACCACTGTGCCTCTGCTTTGCCAGATTGGGCTCCGAGTGTTGCCGTGTGTTCGCTTTGTTAACATGTCCACAGATGCTTGCGACCTCTGGCAAGCACATGGAGCATGGATGGAACAGCTTCCAACCCGCTGGGACATTTGAGCTCTTCTACTCACCTCTTTCCCCTGTTGACATCCTCCCCTTTCTCCACATGCTATTTGCCAGCCAGATCCGGTTGGGCCATTTGTGCCAAGTTCCCATTTTTCCCTATTTCCAAAACAAAAGCAAATTGTAAATATCACTAGCAGAAGCGTCATCTTCAAAATAGACAAGGTTATTTACAAACTGAAACCCTTATAATCAGGGCACTCTTCACTGCTCAAATGTGGGCAGGTAGCACCCGCGGCCCAGTACTTAGGCAAGCCCAGAGGGCGCTGTCTGCTCAGTGTGCCTGCTGGCTGAGCCCCTGCATCCTTATCCTTCCTCCCTGGTGGAGGCTTGGCCTCGTTCCCTCCCATAACTGCAGAGGAAGAATGCTCCATCCACACCTTTCAGGGGTTAAACTCCAAAGACTGTGTTCTATAATAGAGTTCTAACAATCTTATTTTATAGTGGTATAAGGATTATGTTATGGGGTTTTCAGATATAGTATGCCTTTTGGATTAATTTATTATAAGAATCTGTTTTGACAAAATATTATAAAATTTTAAACTTCTTTATGTGATGCTTTGTTCAGAGAGTATTATTTTTCATTCTGAGTGTCAAAAAATTACTGAATTAAATTGTATAGGAGTTTTAAGAATGCAAAGTAAAAGATACGGCCTATTAAATTAAACACTAAGTTAATTCTGTCAAATTTAAGAGTGGTAAAATTGTAGTATTACTATATGCCCATTATTTCAATTTTTCTTTAAATTGTTTGGGGTTAGCACTCTAAAGATAATTATTTAATGTAATGGAAATGTTGAAGTAAGTGAAGAATCTTATTTTTGTATAGTTAAAAAAATTTAGAAGAAGGACTTTTTCATAGTGTGTTTCTTTATTGTAGAAAAGTTAAGAATACAAGGATGTCATATTGTAAAAGTTCTGTACTAATAGTACTGAAGATCAGAGTCCTGGGTATACCCACCAGGAATCACATGTGTGGTTTCTCATTTCATAGTCCTGATTAAAAAGCAAGTATTTATTTTAGGCTCCCCACTGGCCAACTTGACACATGGCCTAGGTGTTATCTTTTCCCGTATGCAAAAGTGGCCTTTTAAATTCACAGTAATTTCCAGGTGTCTTACCATGGGATACATGACACCAGCTTCCAGCTGTCCCTGGGACTTCAGGACTACCTCACCCAATACAGTGTTCTCTAGGATTCTTTTCCTGAAAACAGGGCGAGTGGTCAGCATTTTGTTTGTTCGTAGTTTTCCCGAGTATGTTTCTCTTTCTTCCCCTTCCAGATCGGGAGGAGTGCGCTTGTGACCTCCTCTTCATCTCTGCCTTCCTTCCCCTCCACACTTTGCTGGTCGAGGGAAGAAACCACCCGAAGGGTTAAGTACACTCCAAATGGTCTGCTCTGGAGGAGGGGCAGTGCTCCTGGGCGCTTTGTGCTGGCCCTCCTGTCCCTGTCCCTGCTCACTGCCCTCCATCCTGCATGAGGCAGCACTTCCCTCCCGGGTCCTGGTTTCTCTCAGCATAGCAGATGCACACGCTTGTGTGCACACGCACGTATACCTGCAGAGGCAGTCTCCCTTTTGTCTAACTCCACATTACTCCTTTTCATATCACGTTTAACAAAGATCACAGATCTCAATAACATTTATTCTAAGCTTACTACACTCTTTTTAGACAATCATAAAATTAGCTGGCTGCTGGTTAAATATGGTATAGGAAACATCTGTCCAGTTTTTTCACAGCTACTGTCATATTAAAACTTGTATTTGAATTAACATAAAAACGTTATGCCTTAAAAAAAAAAAGCTGACTTATTTCTGTTGGCACCATAATTGCCAAGCTGAGGCTTTACAGACCTGGCACCCTTAATGAAAACTGTTACACTTAGCAGCAGTAGCTGGGCACAGGGAGCTGTAAGCATGAAGCTTTTCACTTGGTTGGTCAGACCGCACTTGCTGGTGTATAATTTACCCTCACAAGAAGAGCCCAGGACCCGCGTAGCTCCTTGGGAGTAGGCAGGAGGCTCATATTTATTAAACACCTCATGCCCAGTCTTTTGGTAAGTCAGTTAAAAGGTCCTGAGGTAAGGGGGTGAGTCCCTGCTCCAGAGCACACCATCAATAAATGAATGAATATGTCCGTGCCCTGAGACAGTGACAAGGAACATTTTAAAGAAGTTTTCAGTGATACAGCCCAGTTCTGGCTCACTTTTTTTTTTTAAATGAAGGGTAGTGTGATAAAGGTGAGAAGAGAGAAGGTACCGGGGGTGAGGGGCCATCTTTCCAGACAAGGTGGGATCTGCACTGGGCCCAACATTGGCCAGTCCCTCTGCACCTAGGACTAGGAGAGGATCCCTCTGTCCATTGGAAGGGACATGTGAGTTGCCAAGGCCTTTGGATTTTTTTTTTTTTTTTTTT